GCAGCAGAAAACAAGCTAGCTCCCTCCTCAATATGATATCCCTTCAAAAATGTAAACAGGGCTATCATATCCCATCTTAACTGTCTCTTCTCCAGGATAAACATAGGGCATAGTTTCCAGACCCTTCACCATTTTGGTCACCCTCCTCTGGACACGCTTCAGTTTTTCAACATCCTTTTTGAATTGTGGTGCCCAGAACTGGACATAGTATTCCAGGTGGGGCCTGACCAAAGCAGAATACAGTGGCACTATTACTTCCCTTGATCTAGATAGTATACTTCTATTGATGCAGCCTAAAATTGCATTGGCCTTTTTAGCTGCAGCATCACACTGTTGACTCATGTTCAACTTGTGGTCTACTAGGACTCCTAGATCCCTTTCACATGTAGTCTCGTTAAGCCGAGTGTCCCTCATTTATATCTATACATTTCATTTTTTGGCCTTAAGTGCAGTACCTTACATTTCTCTGTGTTGAAATAGTGTTAGCTTTGGCCCAACTTTCTAACCTATTAAGGTCATTTTGAATTTTCATCCTGTCTTCTGGGGTATTAGCTATTCCTCCTAATTTGGTTTCATCTGCAAATTTGAGAAGCATGCCCCCTATTCTTTCATCTAAGTCATTGATAAAGATGTTGAATAGCACTGGGCCCAGGAGAGAACCCTGTGGCACCCCACTGGTCACTTCTCTCCAGGATGAAGAGGAGCCATTGCTGAGCACCCTTTGGGTTCGGTCAGTCAACCAATTCCTAATCCACCTAACAGTTGTATTGTCTAGCCCACATTTTACTATCTAGCAACAGCCATGATGGCTATACAGCAAAATGTAGCAACATCCAAAGCAATACCTTTGGTTGGCCCAATACAAGATTAAAATTATCATTAAGTTGAAACAAGTATTAACATATTATAATATATTATGCTAACCGGATATATTGATATTAGCCAGCTGCTTCTATTCTTTTTATTGTTGCAAAGTGGAGATGGAGAAAGAGTGGCATATGGTCTGACAATCTATTGTTATTTTTTTAAAAAAGATTGTATCATGTTTGAGTGAAAATAACGCCCCCACAATCATGGACAAAGCCTTCCTTGATATGTATGAGAATGCATGAAAACATTCTCTCCAACCCCTTTTTGTTCTTCATCCTGGACAAAATGGCAACTGGAAATGACATCTTGTCACTTCTGGTTGCTAATTTGGTTGGGATATAGAGGAGAAGTAAGGCCTAAAGTGATCACTTCTGGTTGAAGTGTATTTCAGCCTTTTTAAAAGATAAAATTGCCTCTCCATGAAAGTGAATTAATCCTTGTTTTTAGCAAGAGAAATAGCACCCTAGAATAGGGGGTGAATGCTGAAAAAACAGCTGGGGGTGTCCATGTGGTCCCAGAATCACATTCTGCCTACTTCTGGTTTACAAACTGGGTTGCCAGGTATCAGGGCACCGGCTGAGTCTCAAGTTGTTCTGCTCCTCTGGGCGTCCAGGGAGGCAGATAAATATTAGGGAGAGCAGCTCTGGAGGAGGAGGAAGTTTTGAGTTTTGTGTGGAGATGGCATTAAAGGTTGGAGTTCCATTTTCACTTGCTTCCAGCTGACAGAAGGTTGAGTGGGTGACTGTGGCTGCATCTGCATTGCAGAAATAATCCTATTTGACACCACTTTACCTGCAGTGGCTCAATGCTATGGAATCCTGGGAACTGTAGTTTGTTGTGACACCATCTTGTGCCACAACAAACTACAGTTCCCAGGATTCCATAGCATTGAGCCACCGCAGGTAAAGTGGTGTCAAACCAGATTATTTCTGCAGTGTGGATATAGCCTGTGAAAGTGCTGGCACAGCAAAAAGCCATTGAGAGTGAGACAGGGAGTAAAATGCCAGTTTCAGCACAGTGCCTGTAGGCTGCAGAGGATGCAGTCCCTACTGGGAATGATGCAGCTGCTGGAAATATTTTGCTGCCTCTCCATCTGTCAAAATTATTTTTTGTCCTTGTTCTGGTTAACCTGGTTATCAAGGTTTCCCCTGAATCCTGCTCCCCTTTGCCCTATATACACACATACATAACACAATTTTTATAGCCACAGATTCATTCATATCTGGAGGGTCTTTGAACAGTTTGTAGACAGGAAGGTTTGGTGTAGCAGCCCAGAGGGTTTCAAGGAGTAGGAAATGGACTCCACAATCTGTGAAGTTGCTCACCTTAATCATGTTTGATATAAGCAGGGAGCCTTAAGAATTGTTCAGTCCAGAATCAAAAACTCAATTGATCATGGTCTCACCATTTCCAGAGTCTTGCAAAAATGCTGGTTACCTGATACAAAGCATTGATGTTTCATGTAATAATCTTACAATAGCTCATTTTGGCATGGTTTATTCTGCTTTCAGATTGTGTGGGGTTTTGAGTTACACAAATTCCTTCTATAAGGGAATTTTATGCTCCACCTGTTGAAAAAAAAATCCAGCACACAGTAAAACAGAATGGATAAGCAATCCAATATCAACAATAAAACAGAGCAACAGTAGTAAAAAGCAACCTATGAAATCTGCAGCAATGTCAACAGGGAGTAAAACTGTTTAAAGTACAGTGGTAATAAAAATGTTTTTGCTTGGCTAGCCTGTCACTAGAAAGGGTAACTGCTGGCATCAGGCAAACAAAACTTGGAAGAGTATTCCACAGCTGGAGGACACACCACAAAGTACAGTTTCATTCATAGGATGGATGCTGATACATCACCAAATAGAAGGGTGAGGATCCCCTAAAATGAAAAGGGGTCAAGATTAGCATATGCTAACTTAAATCAATATGTTCAAACACAGAAATAATTTGTCATTGTATGCCTTCAAGTCATTTCCAACTTATGATGACCCTAAGGTGAACCAGTCACAGGATTTTCTTGGCAAGATTTGTTCTGAGGTTTGCCTTTGACTTCCTCTGAGGCTGAGAGTGTGTGACTTGCCGAAGGTCACCCAGTGGGTTTCCATAGCCAAGCAGGGGTTCATATCCTGGTCTTTCAGAGGGCTAGTCCTGCACTCAAACCACTACACCATGCTGGCTCTCATAGACATAAATATGAAAAACCTAAATGGAAATGCAATACAATTTACCACAGGGAAAAGATTGTAAGTGGTGATTTGTACATCTAGCAGTTAAGACCAACTGCTATAAGGATAACTGAGATAATGTGGTGAAACTACAAACTCAAAAACATAGTTAAACTTTTATTAATAGAAACAAAGCTGTATACAGGATGGGAATCATGTGGCCCCCCAAATGTTGTCAAATCCCAAAGTTCCTCACTGAACAAATTTTTGCAAATTCTTGACCACCTGAATACACAGATGATTCCTCCAAACCTGCTCTGAAATGTTATATTCTGCCTCCAGTCAGTATAAAAAGTTAAGAATGAAATGCATGTTAGTTTAATTGGAGAGGTGGAAGTATTTCTATTCAGTGTTATTTTTATTTGCTTTCTTCTTTTCCTCCTTCAGACAATGCTGAACCTAGATGCATTCTTTCAGCAATAAAAGCAGCATCATGGTAGCTTTCCTATTCTTGGCAGGAACTCTGCCAGACACTTTTCCCCTCTATACTTTAAGCCAGCATGGTGCAGTGGTTAAAATGCTGCATTTTGATTTTGGAAACCAGGGTTTGAATCCCTGATGGAAACCTACTCTCACAGTCTCAGAGGAAGGCAAACCCTTCTGAACAAATTTTACCAAGAATTATGGAAGGCTTGCCCTTAAGGTCACCACAAGACAGAAACAATGTGAAAGCACACAACAACAACTAGTACTGCTAAAGGGACAGTTGTCTCAACAAGCGTCAGCTCCTCCTAATTTGTCACATGGCAGGCCTTGTCTTTCTCATCAGAGAAATCAATCATGAAGACCATCATTATCAAGTTCAGTCTTCTTGCCTTTAACATTATGAGTTACAATCTTTGCAAAGTGTACAATAAACCAGATGTGCTCTAACAATTTCCAGATGAGGATGTGTGAAGTAGTACCAGTCCCTCTGGGTGTATTCTCTGGAGGAAGTACTTGCCATTTTAGCACAAGGTAACTGCAATTTAAAAAAAAAGGTCCTTTCATTCTTTTTTTAAAAAGTCCTCTCATCTCGTATTGGCACTCATTGCCTAAGGGAGAGCATTCATCTGGCCTCTTGATGGGCTATTTCTGTTGGAAGATTTTTGCATTCTCTTTCCCCCTCCTTAGATAAATAGGGATTTCCTGCATGCAAACTCTCCCCTCTCTCAAACTAAACATGTGATTTAGATCACTCCCCCTTTGGGAATAATAGACTCTCTCTCTCTCTCTCAAATATTTTCAACTGAACTGCATGGTCCTCCATCTTCCTTCTCCATCAACTTTCTTTGGAAAGATGGTGAGATAAAGGCTTCTGCTTACCCGAACTATTCACTAGCTAGACTAGGATATAGCTTCTATGTAAATATAGATTAAAGCCATTAATAAACTTTTGTTTGAACTTCAAGCTACTTCTGTTGTTTTTGGGGTTAGTCTCAGCTCTTAGGGAAGCATAGTTAGACAAGAGCACATTTCTGTTATTCTGCTGATGTAAAACTAGAGCCTAACAGGCTTGGCTTTGATATTTTTGATATTTAAATATTTTTGTTTCCTTTACAAAGGCTGAAGCCTTAGGAGGCTTAAATTTACATGTTCGTATTATTCTTTTCTCAAATGCCCTCAAATATTACTGGAGTAGGCAATCATGCAGACCTTTCCAATCTGGTTCCCTCTAGATATTAAACTGCAACGGCTATCCTCATCCTTCACTGATAATCACTGTAAACTCAAAAATTGTTGCTGTTGTTATGTGCCTTCAAGTAGTGTCTGATTTATATTGATCCTAAGACCATGGGGTTTTCTGGGGCTGAGAGGGTGTGACTCGCCCAAGGTCACCTAAAGAGTTTCCATGGCCAAGCAGAACCAAACCCCGCTTTCCAGTCCCAGTCCTACGCTTAAACTACTACGCCACACTGTACCTTTCTACATAAATCTTTCTAAAGTGCTTCATGTAGATTATCTCTGTAATCTTTACAACAGAGATGGGGACACCTTGGGCCCTCCGGCACTTTAGATTCATTTTTGCTTTCAAGTCAACTCTTGACTCATGGTGACTCCAAGACCCACTGTCCTCAGCCACTCTGCATAACTATTCTTCTTCATAACTAGGAACCTTCAGGCTCCTAGCCACAGTCTCCGTGGTTAGTCTCTCCATTTGGTATTTAGTTTACCTCTTTTTCTCCTACCTTCTATCCTCCCAAGCACTATTGTCTTTTCTATTATTCTTTTCTCATGACACAACAGTCTCAACGTGGTCATCCTAGCTTCTAGGGAGACTTCAGGCTTGATGAAGGATCCATTTATTTGTCTTCCTGGCTATCCATGGTATCCTTAGCATTCTTCTCCAGCACATCTCAAATGAGTTGGTTTTCTCTCTGTAAACTTTCTTCACTGTCCAGTGACAGTAAACTACAGTTCACTGCAGCATAATGACTGTGTGTGTGTGTGTGCTGTGTGCCTTCAAGTGGTTTCTGACTTATGGTGGACCTCTGAACCAGTATGGCATAGTGGTTTGAGTGTTGGGAGTATGATTCTGGAGACCAAGGTTCAATTTCCCACTTGGCCATGAAACCCACTGGGTGACCTTGGGCAAGTCACACTCTCTCAGCCTCAGGGGAAGGCCATGGCAACTCCTCTCTGAAGCAATTATGGCAAGAAAACCCCATAATAGGATCACCTTAGGATTGCCATAAGTCAGAAACAACTTGAAGGCACAAAACAACAACATGGGGGTTTCTTTGAAAAATTTGTTCAAAGGTTTGCCATTGCCTTCCCCTGAGGCTGAGAGAATGTGACATGCCCAAGATCCTGCAGTGGCTGAACTGGGAATCAAGCCTTCATCTCCAGAGTTGTAGTCCAACCCTCAAACCACTACGCCACGCTGGCAATGACCACAGTGCCACAATCCCTTTCCAAAGGACATATCAGTGGGACTGTTGGGAGCTGGAGGTTTTACTCCATGCATCTGAAGCAAACTGACTGAAACAAAAGCTTATGTGGAAATAAATTGAGTAGTCTTAAAGGTATAGTCCTAATGAGGAATCTGTACTCAGGACAAGAGGCTACTGTCAGAACACGGAGAAACAGAATGGTTCCCAACTGGCAAAGGGGTCAGACAAGGCTACATCCTTTCACCCTATCTCTGTTCAACTTGTATGCAGAATATATTATAAGAAAAGCAGGCTTGGACACAGAAGAAGGAGGAATGAAAACAGGAGAAAAGAATGTCAAAAATGTAAGATATGCAGATGACACCATAGTACTAGCAGAAAACCTCACAGACTTGGAACACCTACTAAGGAAAATCAGAGAAGAAAGTGCAAAGGCAGGCTTAATGCTGAACATAAAGAAAACAAATATAATGATCACAGAGAACTCATACACATTCAAGCTAGACAATGAGGAAATAGAAATAGTAAAAGAGTTTTAATATCTGGGATCAAACATTGATCAGAACGGAGACTGCAGCCAGGAAATCAGATTAAGAATGAGGAGGGCAGCTATGAAAGAACTAGAAAAGCTCCTAAAATGCAAAAACATACAACTGAGCACAAAAGTCAGAATCATACAAGCCACTGTATTCCCTATTACCATGTATGGATGTGAGAGCTGGACAGTCAAGAAAGAAGACAGGAGGAAAATCAATGCATTTGAGATAATGTGGTCCTGGAGAAGAGTGCTGAGGATCCCATGGACAGCCAGAAGGACAAACAAATGGGCCCTAGAGCAGATCAAGTCAAAGATATCCCTAGAAGCCAAGATGACAAGACTTGTCTTTGGGTCTTTACAGACTGCCAGAAATAGTGCAAATTGAGGCCACTTTAACTGTCCTGGCTCAGTGATTGGGAATCATGGAAATTGTATTTTTTCTGGGACATTAAGCCTTCTCTGCCAGAGAGCTCTGGTGCCACAATAAACTACAGTTCCCATGATTGCTTAGCACTGAGCCAGGACAGTTAAAGTGGCCTCAGTTTGCACTATTTCTGGCAGTCTGTAAAGGCCCTTTGTTGTACTTTGGACACATCATGAGAAGGCATGAATCGTTGGAAAAGACAATAATGTTAAGAAAGGTGGAGGGACGTAGAAAGAGAGGAAGGCCACATGCTAGATGGATGGACTTTATTAAAGAAACTACGAATATGAGTTTGCAGGAGCTGGACAGAGAAGTAGAAGATAGGGGGGCCTGGAGGTGTCTCATCCATAGGGTCACCATGGGTCGAGACCAACGCGAAGGCAGTTAACAACAACAAAAGGTGTCACAGCACTCTTTTTCTCCCCTCTTCCTTCCTTCTCTCCCTTTTATACTGAAAAAGACCAACAGAACCGTCAATGAAAACTACTCCACTCAGTGGCAAAAGATCCCCTCCTTGACCTGAGATAGGTAAGTATCCTTATTGTAGTTACTGGAGAGAATGAAGCTACTGCTGAACAATAACATCTTGCTTGAGAACATTCTGCTAGTTCAGGAACTGGTTTTACAGGTAAGAAAAACAAAAGGAGATGTGTTCTGTTGGGTTTCTTTTCTTTTTTATCAGTGTTCCTATGATGCCACTTGAAGTGTTCAGAAAATAAGTGATATTTTACAGTCCCAGGAAGTGAGTGATTACAGAGGCTTGCAATGAAAAAAAACCTTGTTTTCACTATTGTTGCCATTTTTAATGTAGTTTTGGGTGCTGAATTCAAATACCATAAGTGCTGAACCGCACACAGTTCTTTCACAAATTCGTTATTTCTATCAATTCAGTTGTTACTCTGCTTTGATTAAGCGCAGACACTAATGTTCCAGTGTGATTTCTTTTAGTGCTTTTCAATAGATTTTTGTGTTTTATATCAGTGAATTAAAGCATTTTGTAATTCTGTTGGAAGACTTTAACTCTTTTCTTACTCTTTGCAGGATCATTTCATTCAGTCATACATTACAACATAAAAGCGGCAAAGCAAATTGTGGAAAAACTGTACACAATGGAGCAAATCTGAGTACATTTTTGGATGTAGAATGCCTATACAACTATGAAACTGGCATACATTAAAAAAAAGTTTTTATGTCATCAACATATTGAGAAACTTTATAATAGTTAAGAGCAGAAATTGTTAGGTTTCTTCTCCTTAGGCTTTACTTACATGGATAGGGGATACCATAATGGTAACACTGTCTTTTCTAATAAGTCCTGGCTTCTTATGACGTGGCCAAAGTATGACAGCCTCAATTTAGGCATTTTGGCCTCCAGGGGTATTTCAGGCTTGACCTATTCAAAGAACCTTTTGTTTGTCTATACAAACAATATGTAAAAATTTATATACACAAATAAATAAATAAATAAATAATGGTTTGAGCATCGGACTATGAGTCTGGAGAACAGGGTTCAAATCCCATCTCTTTCTCTCTCTCTCTCACATACACATATGTGTGTATATAATACATTTTAAATATATATCAATAGCAAGTACATTTCTATACCACTTATCAGTGCACTTAAGCACTCCCTAAGCAGTTTACAATATGTAAGCTAATATATATATTATAAAAAGTAAAGTAAAAAACTTTTACTTTTTTACAAAATATAATATAAAATTATTTATAA